AGTGCATTACAAATATTTTCTCATTTTATCCTCACAACAACTCTGGGAGGTAGGTTCTATTATTTTACAAATGAAGAAACTGAGATAGATGACTTGCCCAGAGTCACACAGCTAATAAGTGTCTTCCTGTCAGTTTTTCCTTTTTCCAGATCCAGAACTCTATCCACTATACCTCCTAGCTGCCAAGACATAAAAACATTAAGAATAATATTTTTGTAGATGTTGCCATACCAAATAGTCATAATCTTTAGGCTAATATGGAATTAAAAGCTTAAAAAAATAGAGCCCTAGCAGAAGTAATTAACATTATGTGGAAACAGGAAAGGGTACATAGTATCATCCTCAGCATGATGTGTACCCCAGATTTGTACCAAGAATACTTTCAGGGAGCCTATAGAAGGTGAGCCTACATCCTAATGCTTTATTTAACCAGAACAAGAAATGATTTTATACACCTATGCAATAAGCCACAGAATATTAAATATAAGATAATAATAGCAGGATAGTAACTTGTCCAAGAATCTTTTTTATCAGAGTTCTATTGAACAGGATGAGAATGATGGCCAATAATAATAATAACGGGGATGAATAACAACAGGATTGTTTTTAGCTAATGTCCATTGAAGAAGATGAAAAGAACGAGATGATAATGATGATACCATATTTACATAGGACGTCAAAATTTGCAAAGAACTTTACATGTATCCTTTCCTTTGATCTCACTGATTCCCAGACTTTCTGTACCAACACCTACTACTGCCTGGTCTCTCCATCACATGCACCAGGAAAGTTGGTCTTTTATCCTAGTCTTACACAGGGTCTCTTTCACCTGGAATCTACTGACCCAGACTTACTCTTCCCTGCCTGGAGGCTGTACCTACTCTGCTCCAGTCACCATGACCACACAAAGCCCCCAGGTGCTTTAACAATAAAGTTCTTGCCTCAGCACTGGTTCCTTCTTTCTCCTTCACTCATCCTAGCACAGTAGGGTTGTAATCCCCACCCTTTCCAAGATTTCGTCCAGTTAGCTTCATTGTAGAGGCTATATATCTACCTTGTACCATCAGAACACTATAGCTCTTCTTCACTCCCCCCAAATGTTCAGAGACTGCATTGGGAAACTGAGGTCCACTGACATTTGCATCCTCTGTCCTGCTTCATACGAGCCCATGAACAAAGAGATACTCTATCAGTTCCCCATAACTAACATACATCTGGACATAATAATAATGGCTAACATTAGCTTACTATGTGTCAGGCACTATGCTAAGCGCTTTACAATTAATTAGCTCATTTGTCATCACAATAACCCTGGGAGGTAGGTACTGTTATTTACCCCCATTTTACAAATGAGGAAACTGAGGCAAACAGAGGTTAAATGACCCTCCCAGGGTCACACAGCTGGTAAGTGTCTGAGGGCGTATTTGAACTTAGTCTTCCTGACTCCAGACCAGGCCCCTTGCTTCCAGGACCTCATCCAGAGTAAGGCTGCAGGCACCGGAGCGATTCCCGTGTAGGGAATCTTCTGACTATCTTGAGATGATACAAAAACAAAACCTAGTGCTAAATGTGAATTGTCAGGCCCCTGAAGGCCTAGGTACCCCAAGGTACTTCCTGACCCAGATGCCTTACCCTTCTCTACTGATTTTTGAGAAAGGACAATCTAAAGCCCCCATCCATGCTCAGAGCACCCCTTCAAGGGAAGAGCTGCAGTCAAATGGCATGTCCTCAGCTGTGGCTAACAAACTCCAGCTTCCCCTTCTCATAAGCCCAGTTTTTGGTGCAGTCAAATCTAAGTGAAAATCCCCTTCTTCTATAGGCAGCTAGGTGGCTCAGTGGATAGAGCACTGGGCCCTGGATTCAGGAGGACCTGAGTTCAAATCCGGCCTCAGACACATAACACCTACTAGCTGTGTGACCCTGGGCAAGTCACTTAACCCCATTGCCCAGCCAAAAACAAACAAACAAAAAAATCCCTTTCTTCTGATACCACTCCTATCTCACATTCCCATCTACTTCAGCTCTACTCTTCTGCAATTCCTATCCTACTCCTCCCTGGGTCTCCATTGTGTCTTCTGGAATCACTTTCCCCCTTATCTTAGATTTCTTCCTCTTAACTCCACCTTCTGGAAGTCATGGAAACCTAGCCTCCCCCAGAAGACAGTGAATCCCTGTCCACCCTCCCCAGCAATGTCAGACACAGGAATCCAAGAGGATAAGAGGCATATTCTTTGTTCCTAATTGCCATTTTCAAGCCTTCCTTCTGCTGTCATCACCCAGCAACATCTCCTCCTTTTAACTTAACCCAAGATCCTTATGCCTTAACTGGTAATGTGACTACTTTCCTTGACCACTATTTCAGGAAAAGCTCAGTCATGCTTAGATTTACTTCCTATATAGCCTAGCCAACCAGCTTGTCACTAGGTGAATACAATTTTCTTTCCTTCTCCCACTCCTTCTTCTTCACAGTTTGGGAACCATGAATCAGAATCAAATCATCTCTATCATTGTTCCTGGATAGGATATGTCAACTTCTTCTCTCTGGTCACTTTTGCCATCCCCTTCACTTTCAGCATGAAAGTACCTATCCTAGGCCCCTGCTTCCCTTTGTGTAGTTTCTTCCTTTAGCATGTAGGCTCCTTGAGGGTGGGTCTTTACTTTAGTATTTGTGTCCCCAGCGGTGAGCATAGTGTTTGGCACATACTGAGCCCTTAATATATGTTTCTTCATTCATTTATATCTTAGATCTCTAGTATTATCCCTCATAGAAGTTCACCCTCTGTGTCCCAGAAATTATTCTCTCTGATCACAATATCTGATTTTTCTTTTCATTCTTTGTCCCACATCTCCTAAATCCATTCTTCATACTCACCACAACCTCCAATCACTCCATGTCTTCCTATTCTCCCAATCCATCATCACCCCTAATTTGGCCTCATTTTCTTCCTTCTGTGGTCTTGACTTTATAACTATTTTGACTTTTAACCAGTTAACCTCTAAGCTGTCCTCTGCCTCTGAATCCCTTTCCCTCCTTTGTCCTATGATTGCTTATACCTTGCCAAATACCAACCATGGTTTACCTCCACCATCCACCTTCTTGTGCATTCCATTTTGGCCAAAACGCCCTACTTACTGGTCCTTGAAGAAATTACCTGTCTGAAGTACAGTTTCCTGTTCATCAAAATGAGAGGAATTTCAACTGTATAGAAATGAAATGGATTCCCCAGAGTGAGTTCCCCATTTCTATAAATCTTCAAATAAAGATTGAAAGATATGAAGAGAATTCTTGTTTGGGTATAGATCAAACTAGATAACTTTCGTGGTCATCTTCCAACACTGGGGTTCTTATTGGATGAGCTCTCAGGTTCCTTCAACTTTAGGGTTTAGGGAAATAACTGCCCATTATGCAGTGAGATTTCCAAATCATGAGCATTAGGGTGAGAACATTCTACTCTGTCCCATAGCTCTTCCTGTGATCACTTTGCCTACAGAAAGCCTCAAGGAGACAAGTCCAAACAGTTCTATAAGGGCAAATCTCACAGAGAGATGGGCCAAAATTAGTTGGCCACCTTTAGTTTAATTCTACAAGCATTTATTAAGCAACAACTGAATTCCAGGCACCATACGAGGCAATGGAGATACAAAGCAAAAGTCTCTGTCCTCAAAAAGCTTATACTCTACTGAAAGGAAGAAAAAGCCAAATGCACCAATAAGCAAATACAGGACAGACACAAAGCACAAAGTATTGTGGCAGGGGACAGCCACTAAGGGCTGGAGAATAGGAAAAGGTCTCTTGTTGGAAATGGTGCTTGAGCTGAGCCTTGGAGGGAGTTAGGGGTTACAGGAAGTGGAAGCAGAAGATGGAGGGCATTTCAGGCATTTGCCTAGACAAAGATATAAAGGCAGGAAATGGGATGTCATGTACAGAGAACAACAAATAAATAAATCATTTTGTTAGGAACGGAGAGCAAATTAGGGGAAGTTATATATAATCAGCCTAGAAAGACAGGTTGGAACCAGATTATGAGGGACTTTTAAGTGCCCAACAGAGGCGTTTCTATCTTAGAAGCAGCAAGAAACACATTCAGTTGATAATTATGCAGTACACATGTCTATATTACTTGTCTCCCACATTAGAATGCAAACTCCTTGCAAATAGAGCTTATTTCATTCTCGTTATCTGTATCCCTAGCACCTAGCACTGTTCCTGGTCCAGAGTAACTATTTAATAAATTCTGCTGATTGATTGGATTGGCCAGACCTGACAAGAACATTTTTTCTGAGGCTTTCTGAGTTAAGAAAAGGTCACACCATATTCAATGTGCATTTGTTCCCTGTAGTGATTGCATTAGTGCTGGGGACCCCTTTAACCTCCATCTGGGTCAAACTAGACACCAGCTATATTCAAAGATATTTTTCTCAGTGTAAACACCAGGGGTAGCACCAAGCCAAAAAAAAAAAAAAAGGAAAATGACCTTCTTGGGTCAGTCTCCATGATTGGATCTAGTCCCTATTAGCTCAGAGTCATGGGGGTTAGAGGAAGAGCTGTGCCATATATTACATTTTCATGTGTAAATGTCATCTTCTCAAGTAAACTGCAATCGCCTTAAGAGCAGGAATTATGTCTTATCGATTCTTGTATACTCCTTACCTCCGGAGTGCCAAGAGATCAGTGCTGAGAATTTAGTAAGTGTTAAGAATTTCTGGTTCACTTAGTGAATGGTAATAGAAGTTATGCATTTGTGGTACGGATGGTCTTCTGTGTACCATGACACAAGATATTCATGGGGCTCCCTAAAATTCATGCAGGGGATTCTGTGAGGCAGACTAGGTTAATCCACCTCACTCCGCCAGTAACACTTGGGCCACACTGTTGTTGAACACGAAGAACCCTGTTTTTCCTCTCTCCCGTCACGGACAAGACCCCACGCGCTTTCTGACCCCGACACTACCCCACCTCATCCTTCAGCCCCCAGCTCACTCCCTGCGTCTCTTTTTAGGAACAGAGCACAGCTGGCCAGTGGCTCCATTGCTCCCATGGATCCCTTGAACCTGTCCTGGTATGATGATGACCTGGACGGCCGGAATTGGTCCCAGTCCTTGAATGGGTCCGAGGCAAAGGCAGACAAGCCCCACTACAACTACTATGCCATGCTGCTCACCCTGCTCATCTTCGTCATCATCTTCGGTAATGTGCTGGTGTGCATGGCTGTGTCTCGAGAGAAGGCGCTCCAGACCACCACCAACTACCTAATCGTCAGCCTTGCCGTGGCTGACCTCCTTCTGGCCACGCTAGTCATGCCCTGGGTCGTCTACCTGGAGGTAGGTCTGCATCCTTCCCCACCCTTCCTCTTTTCTCATAGAGTAGTGGGGATCAAGACAACATGTAAACAAATATGTACAGAGCAAGCTATACAGGATAAATAGGAACTAATTAACAGCGGAATTAAGCACAGGAAGTAAGAGAGGTTGGGGAAAGCTTCCTGTCAAAGGTGGGATTTTAGTTGGAGCTTCCAGAAAGGCAGGTCAGTAATCTGAGCCTTGACTTGAGTGAGGCCCAGCGCTCTTTCCACTGTACCTGGGTTTCAGTCCCTGAACTTTATTGCTTTTCCTCTGACCTAATCAAGGCCAATTTCATTACACACAGCTCTGCCGAGAGACAGAGCCCTAGATCCCCAGAGACAAGGCAGAGGCCACTGCTGCAAAGGAGGGGCTGTCCTGCAGGGCTGCAATTGGCTAATGCAGAGCAGGGCAGCCCCATCATCCTGGGGTGGGGTGTAGGTAGTGGGTTATACAGGAACTGCAAAAGAGAAGAATTGATCACCAAGCATTGTCCCTCCCCCACCTCCACCTTCTGTCCATGATATCTCTTCTCTGGGATTCACAGACTTGGGTGAGGAGGCTGGGCAGTGAAGGGTGGGTCTGATAGATTCACCCATGCACACATTAATAGGTTCAGCTGCTGCCTGAGCTCTCAGCAGCTTTGGGAGCAAAGTGGCTGAAGGAGAGTGTACCTTCTGATGACTGGCCCAACCCCTGACGCAAACAGGGCCAACAGTAGGGGATCAGCATTCTAGAGAGTTTCTATGGTCCAGAATTCCACATCATTGAAATGGTGACCTGACCCTCACCCTTAGAATGGAAACCCAGTGGTCTCCAATTAGGAGTTCTCACACTCCTCAGAGCAGGCAGCTCAAGCCTCACCCTCCTTCCTGCCCTGGCTTTTAAAGCAGAAAGACGAATGAGATGGAGTCACCAACCTCAACCCCAGGCCACAGGAGGGATGCCTTAGGTTTTGCTGCCCATGTGCTCTTAATAATATTGCTATTATTCTGATGGCTTCAACCATAGAGCTGGCAGAGTCAGTCTCTAGGATTTTGGTGAATACATAAGCTATGTTTGTTCCAGGAATGCTGGTCTGAGCTCGCATTCCTCAGATGAGCTCTATGCAGACCTCTAGGCTTAGATCCAGCTAAGGATAGAGGGATGAACTTGGAGTCAGTAAAATCTGAGTTCACATCCTACCCTGGTCACTTACTAGAGATGTTACCCTGGGCAAATCACTTAACCTCTCTCAGCCTCAATTTCCCCATATGTAAAATGGAGACAAAAACAGCATCTGCCTCACAGGATTGTTGTGAGGATCAAATAAGATAAGTATATAAAGTCCTTTGCAAAACTTAAAGTGCTAGATAAGTGTTTAGCTATTGCTATCATCATCATCATCATCATCATCACCACCATCACCATTATCACCATCATCACCATCATTCTCATAGCCCCACTCACTAGGCATCACTACAGTAACAACCTGTGTCCCAGAACGCTAAGTCTGAGGGAATTTAAATGGCCTCAACCTGCTCATCATTCTGTTTATCATTAAAAGACTTACAAAGCTTTTCCCTGATATCAACACTTTAAGGTAGGTAGTAAAGAATTACGCTCTCCATTTTGCAGATGAAGAAACTGAAAGGTTGATGGACTTACTTATGGTCACACAGGGGCTATCACATCTAAGATATGAATCCAGGTCTTCTGACTCCAGATCTAGGTGTTTTTCCATGACGTAATAGTTGTCTCTCCTAGACTACGCTGCTTACAAGCCAGATCACACCTAACCTATTCCAGACAGATGGTGAAACCGCTTATTTCTTTAAGATGACTAAGGAAAAAGGATGTTACAATTTCCGTTAGTCACCTGTTTCAGTGTCCTATAGTCCTCAATCCTAAAAAGTTCTTGCTTAGAGCCGACCTAAATCCAATTTCTCCAATCGAAGTCAATGTCCACAACAAAACCCCTATTTAGAAGGAATCATTGTCCACAGGGAAGAAGAGCCGCCTCTCTTTGTTCCTTGGGAAATAGACATATTTAATGTCTCTCTCTTATGATGAATATGAGGGCAGCAGACGCAAAAAAATCCGAGACTAGCAAACAAACCCAGCCTGCCCTAAGGTTAGAAGGCTGCCCAGCAAAGGCTAGAAAGAAGGTTGTTTATAGCAAAAAGGTGAGAGCATTGCACCTGGTGGTAAGAAACATCCTATTAGCATAAATTATTCCCCACCACCTCAGACACAGCTGTAGAGTCCCCAGTAAATTGAGTTCCTCCCCTTAGAACTCTGAGGAAAGAGCAATAAGAAGTCACCAGAAGATAGGAATTTGTTGCTGTTAAGTTTTCAGTTCTGTCCAACTTTCCTTGACCCCATTTGGGGTTTTCTTGGCAAAGATACTGGAGTGATTTGCCATTTCCTTTTCCATCTCATTTTACAGATGAGAAAGCCAAGGCAAATAGGGTTAAGTGACTTGCCCAGGGTCACACAGCTACTAGGTGTCTGAAGCCAGAGTTGAGATGAGTCTTCCTGACTCTGGGTCCAGTGCTCTATCCACTGCATCACCTAGAGATCATCCTATCTGTGCTTGACTTGGTGTCTCAAGTCACAACCTCTCTGGGCCTCAGTTTCTTCAACTGACAAAGAGGGTAGGGCAGTACGTTAGATAAGCTTTGATGATCTTGTCCAACTCTAAATCTATGATTTTATGAGTCAGAAACCAAGTAGGAAAGCCTGGAGTAGTGGTCTTGGAATTCTTTTGATTGTCCTCTCATTGGTCAAAATATTGGTGGTTATGCTGGGGGAAGGGTGTCAAGCTCAGAAGAGGAAAGGTGAAGAGCTTGAGGTGGGGAGGAAGGGAGTAATGGGCTATAGGAGGTAGAGGAAAGGTGCAATTGTATTGGAGTCAGCCCCTTGATTGACTATCACCTATCTTCTAACCCCACAGATAGTTGATTACACACTTAGGGGCTCCTAGCCACCACTTTGGAGACTCCTGGTCTAGAAGGGAAGGTGTGCAGTGGTATGGGGAATGAAGGCAGGAAAGGCACCATGGAACTTCTGGGATGCTTCTGTAGCTCATCCAGACATCTTTACCCAGCCAAACACGTACTCAGAGTCCCCTGAGGCACAGGTGTCTGGTGCTCCCTGTTGCACTGTCTGAGACGCAGTAATCAAATGACCAAAGATCCCAGGGGCTCCCTGGACCTCCCTTAGCTTTGCCCTGTTCCCTGTCAAGCCATGGCCCAGACACAGAAGCTCTCAGGGGTCAGGGAAACAATATTTTCTTGCTCCCACTCAGGGCTTGTAAGAAAAAGCATCAGCCCATTCTTTATGGACCAGTCCCACCTCTAGGAGAAAAGTATGTAGCCTGGCTCTCTCTAAAACTACAAATCTTAGCACTCAGGGTAAAGGGTCAATGTAATGAAGTGTAGTGGATAGAGTGCTGGACTTGAAGTTAGTTAGCAAGGCCTGGGTTCAAATCCCACCTCTGCCACTTACTGGTCATATAACCCTGGGCTGTATGACCCTTAATCTCCCTTAGCCTTGGGTTCCTGGTTTTCTTCTTCTTCTTCTTCTTCTTCTCTTCTTCTTCTTCTTCTTCTTCTTCTTCTTCTTCTTCTTCTTCTTCTTCTTCTTCTTCTTCTTCTTCTTCTTCTTTTTCTTCTTCTTCTTCTTCTTCTTCTCCTTCTCCTTCTCCTTCTCCTTCTCCTTCTCCTTCTCCTTCTCCTTCTTCTTCTTCTTCTTCTTCTTCTTCTTCTTCTTCTTCTTCTTCTTCTTCTTCTTCTTCTTCTTCTTCTTCTCTTCTTCTTCTTCTTCTGTTTGGACTTAGTGACCTCTAAAGTCCCATGATCCTAAAAAGGGAACTGGGACAGACCATCTACAAGGGAGTTAAGGTATGGAATTGGCAGGGCTGGAGGGGAGGGAGAAACAGAGATACAGCAGACAATGTGATGGTGGGTGTGGTCCAAGGGATAGACCAGTCCATTCCCTGACCTTTCTCAGCTCTGCCAGACCACAAGCTTCACTCTTTCCCAAAACCCACCTTTGCCCCCAACTTCCATGGAATTGTCAGCTATTTGAGGCTCCTGAGGCATGAGGCATGAGGATGGTCTGCTGATCACAGTGGAAAAAGGTCGCACCCACCCCAGGAAGTACTTAGTCACTAATATCGGTGCGTAAGACAGTCTTGCCTGACCTACCCTAGTCACAGCTCACTCCCTATTCACATAGGAAGACATTTTAGATTTAGAGCAGGGCTGAACTTCAGCGGTCATCTAGACTGTCTGTTTAAATCTAAGCTCCCAGATGTTTAAATCCCTCAGATCATAAATTCTTGCTCATAAGAAATTGAATAAAGCAAGAGCATTAACCATCTACGTCAGTGTAGTGTCATGGAAAGAGCACTGGATTCGAGCATTGAACTGAGTTCTTGACCTAGCTCTTTCAATAACTTGGCAACTTGGGCAAATTAGTTCACCTCTCTGGGCCTCAGTTTCCTCATCTGTAAAATTAGGAAGGATTGCTAAGATTCCTTCCAGATATAAAATTTTATGAGTCCACGATTTGACCTTTCTTCTCTAACCTACCCAATGGGACATTCTTTCAGTCCAGAAAGGCTTAAGACCCAGGAAAGGCCAAAAAAAGGGAGGGCATCATGTATGAATGAATGAATGGAAAATCTTTATTAAGCACTTACTAACTCTGGGTGTACCTTCAAGCTTCAGTCCTGGGCAGCTAAGTGGCATAGTGGAAACAGTACTGGACCTGGGATCAGGAAGTCAAGTTCAAATCCTGCCTCAGACATTTAGAATGTGACCCTGGGGAAGTCACTGAACCTCTTTCAGCCTCATTTTCCTCATCTGTAAAAGGGGGATAATAATAGTAGCATATTTCTCCCAGATAAAACTATACAAAGTACTATATAAAAGCTATTATTATTTCTGTTCTCTCTAAAGTCTTTTGGTGGTCTCATAAGCCATAAGTTTAATTGT